ATAAAATATACCTGATACCCTTATAGGGCTTCTCAGTATTCCATTGGCAGCAAATTTTCTAGAGTCCCCCTCTATAACCGAAAACCACGTGATCCTTTCAAAATCCTCCGACCACCCCTCTCCCCCTGACGACAAATAATGATTGATCCCCAAGGGTTTCTCCTTAGTTACCAAAGATTTTTGCTCTTGTTGAACCTGCTTTTCTGTGTGCTCGTCGCTACCAAATGGTTGCTTGGAAAAGGCTACTGTCTCCCTTGTGCACGATCGTTGGGGGGTGGAGGGGGGGGCTGGACTCAAGGAGAGAAATTAGACGGTAAGGTTTCATTCAAGCAGTCGTTCTCCCGCACCCGCTCGCTCATTCCTCAATCGAAAGATTGAATAGGACACCATTATGATCAATCAACTGATCCTCGCGTGTATGATGTGGTTTAAAAACCTTAGGAAAACGTGCGCGTGCGATCTCAGAGTAGCTGCTTCACTGCCTCGTAGCCAAACTCCTTCTGCTGAGTTGTGCAAGGGAGGAAGAAGGGAAGGCGACTTAAATTTTTTCGTCACCAGTCGCTCACATAATTTGTCCTCGTTCGTCCTCGTTTTCGATCCATTTCGTTCTAGCTCATTTCAAGCGTCCTAATTGGAATTATAAACATTTGTTCTTGCAGTAGTTGCATATGTAGGTAGCATGTACAACTATAAAGCTGGACACAACAACTGGAGATGAAAAAAGGACAGGAACACGGCCGTCAGCTTGAGCAAGAGTTTTCATAGCCCTCAGAATTTGATTTGTCATACTGGGACGTTAGACTGGGAAAACATCAATGTCATTTAGTTTTTAAAAAGCTGTGCATTAAAAGAAATTTAAATGAAAAGATGCGTCATTTATTAGTTCAATCCGCCCTAACTACCTAAACGTATTAAGTGATAAAGGCTTTTTTCCAAGGAAGACCTAAGCTCAATACATAATAGTCGGTCGCCAAGGGTTTTCTCCGCCCTGGCCCTGATGCGCACTGGCGCACAAATCGTCAGCGGTAGTTTATAGAGGGGGTAAGTAAAGTTTCTAAAGAAACTGTGGTGCTGCATCGGTGGGAGAGTAAGGCAGGTGATTTAGTAGAAAAGGTTGCAGTTATTCATCGTGGTGAATAGCAATGAAAGCTAAGTTCTTCGTTAGTCTCACGATGTAGTCACGTGTGATGTAGATCGCAACGTTTCGACTGCATACTGCTAGTCTTCTTCAGGCGATGAGGTCGACTGGTCATGTGTGATCTTATAAAGTATGATGCTCTGCTGTGATTCTTTGATTTCCTGCGAAAACATGCTGACGTTCGCATAGCACCCCAAAAAAACTGACGGCCAAAGGCGAAGGCTTTCCTTCTCTGCATGTGACGTAAACAATAGAGGACCACAGCTCTCTTATAATTGGCTACTATGTAAACACCCACGAAAAACCCCGTGGGAGATGCTTCTAAAAATAAAAAGATACGGGACAGGGTTGACTCAGAGGGTAAGTATGGAAGATGGATGCTCCGGGCAATGGGCTCCTGGTACAAGCTAGCTCTACCCACGGGGGTACTTGAGTAAATTTTTGCTGAGTTTGTGCCGCTGGCCTCTCAGAACTCCTACCCTATAATAGTCTATTCCTTGATCAATGAAAGACCTTATATTAGTCTCCTTTGGTAATACGATAACAACTTTTTAACCGCGAGTCCGCATATTTTTAAATCCTTACTTACTAGAATTTTCTTACCCCCAAAATCTGGAAAATATGCGACCCCATTTTAGTAACTTCATTGAAAATACAAGCCCATCATAGTCAATCCAGAAGTGGAAATGCGACCTCATCCAGTCTTACTGAGACACGTTTCCATTAGCCTATCACTAGCAACCCCTCCCTACTCCCAAGGGCCCGACCTTACTCAGTCCATAGGTACAAATTAAATTATTGTTCCGAGAGATCATACGCTACCGCTAGTAATTTAATGTTAACAACTGAATTGAAAACGTAAATTGGCCACCGTAAAGGGTAAAAAAGCTGACGTTTCGAGCGTTTCAGTCTTCTATTGTTTATGTCACATGCAGAGAAGGAAAGCCTTCGTCTTTGGCCGTCATTTTTTTTGGGGCCGGCTATGCGAACGTCAGCGTGTTTTGGCAGGAAATTAAAGAACCCCCCCACATATCTCAGTTCTAAAAATAAAAAGATACAACTGGCATGGAGGCTCCGGGTAATGGGTTCCTGCTTATCCCGTTCTTCACTGAGATTATTTTTCGTTTTTCTGAAGCTAGAATTGAGGGAAAACTCGACAGAAATGGTCGGTTCAATCCGTCTTTGAATTTTTTGGCTTGTTTAGTTTTATTTTCCTGAATCTCGCCTCATCTATCAAATAGAACTGGTATTTGAATTAGTCACTTTATTTTTAAGGGAGCTGGAGAAGGGTTTTGTACAAGATTTCTTTCTAGGGTAGTGTTGGGTAATTTAAAAAAAAAAAAAAAATTCAGGCTGGGTTACTAAGGCAAACACACGTAGAAGCCCGCTTACAGAGATCAGTGACGATCATGGGTTAAAAATGTCTGTACATTGAATTTGTTAATTACGATCCTCGAATAATATCGATTTCGGATCTTCCAGACACTTATGAATTCACTATCTGTAACTGGCCTCTTCCAATATTGTGTTAATTTAGAGATTGAAACCAAAGAAACGTCCGTTAGGAAAAGAGTAAAGTCGAAATTTTTATCCAAAGGTGACGACGTCGGCAAACAGACTACAGGAATGGTTCCGAAAATCGCCGTCGTTTCGTACGACGAAGAGGGTTTGAGCGATCGTGAAAATGGACAGTCACATCACATGTTGAACGAATGGACCGAAAGCAGGGAAGATGAGTCATTCGAAAATAAACATTTTGGCAAACGGAATGGTGATATTTCAAATTTATCGTCATCGCACGAACATTTGAATGGAGATATTTCTTACGAAAATTCCGATCAACGGATTCAGTTGTTGCAAGAAGAAGGAATAGATGAATTTAAAACTGATATAGTGGGATCTAGTGATACAAATGTAGAGGAAGGATCTTTCACCATTGGACTTCAAGTCTTTTTTCCTTTTCTGATCGCGGGATTTGGAACTGTTTCAGCTGGAATACTACTCGATGTTGTTCAGGTAAGGTATTATTCCGTTTCTTCGACAACAATGATAACGATGACTTTCTTTCACTAATTGAGTAAATTTGTTTAAACGGAATAAGGTGGCTAATTATTTTGGAAAAGGTAATAGGTAGAAACTTTCGAAGTCTGTGGTAACTAATCGGTTAAAATGACGCTATCGTTGGTTAAAATATTATTTTATCTTTTGCTGTTGATCTGTTGATATATGATAATGAGATTGAATTAAAGGAACGTGATATTTAAACCTATGGTCAAAGTTAACGGCAGTGTATCCACACAAGGGAAATCTCCTTTTTTATAGAATGCTACCTGCCTAGATAACACTTCAACCCCCCAAGAGTGAGAGGCATCTAATTTCCCTCAACGTCATTGCCCCTGAATCAAACATTATGGTCACGAGAATGAAGGAAGTAGTCGCAAACTCAAGAAACACTTGATTGTTACACAGTCTCCCTTTAAGCTCCTTGAGGAATTTACAGATAACAGTATGGGGAATATACATAGTGATGTTAGGGTGTAAGGGGTTAACCATTTAACTCCCAGATCAAATTTGTAATTCTCCTTACTGTCAACTATACAATTCTTATAATGTTACTTCTGAGAATTTAGTAGTGGATCAACTAATTATCCCCAAATTTATATTTTTCTTTATTCTCATCACTCATCTGATTGATATTGTATTGTTACTGTTAGGAGAAATTCTGTCTTGGTCACACATGGGAGTCAAAGGGTTAATCAATTTTATGAATTCTCATCTTGCCTCTTCAGTTTATCAGTCAGCTTTCCGAGAACATAAGAATTTTATCAATCACAAATAAGCATTTTTTTTACTGGATTAATTACAATGCAGAATTTTTTTCTTAAGCCCCCTTTTGTTACCTTTTTTCTTTCAGCATTGGCAAGTTTACAAAGACATTTCGGAAATTTTCATTTTGGTTCCTGCTCTTCTTGGATTAAAAGGAAATCTAGAAATGACATTGGCATCAAGGCTTTCAACTGCGGTAAGTAAATGAAAAGATCGCAATACAGGTTAGCAACAATGTAAGGTTGTTTATTAGTTTCAAGGAGTCAAAAGTGTGCTGGACTCTGGATCAAAAGGTCTGTGATTAAGCCTATTCTTTCTTCATTGAATTTTGTGCTTAGTTGAGACACGTAACACTTTAATTCCCAGAAGTGATTAACATGTAACTTCTCCCTATAATATCCCTACATTATCCCACAAACAGGTAATGAGAATACTCAAACTTATCAGGTAGAAATTGTTATCTTGATTTAAAACCAAATTCTTATAACTAATTTGCAAGGAAATGTATAGTAGCTTGTAGGGAGAATTGACAATCAGATCTTGGGAGTTAAAGGATTAATAGTTCAGATTACTTTATGAACCACAATTTATTTTTTAGATCACATTTAATACAATGTTGTTGAGTAAATGTGTTCAAATTTTTTTATTGTCAGAATCTAAGGGATGTTTCAAACATTCATTATTTTTTTTTGTTTCCAAGGCAAATGTAGGAAACATGGATTGTGCAAAACGGCAATGGAAATTGATAGGAGGAAACCTTGCATTGATACAGGTTTGTTTATTTTTAAAACAACTCCTGGTACCTAGCCTTTTCTGTTAGCGACCAACTGGATTTTTCCATACTCTTGATGCAAATATGGCAGTTGGCCCTGATTGAGTTACTCAATACCAAGGCACATAAGGCCTTGGGATGTGTTTCAAGAGCTTGGCTCTGGAAAAGTTATGCGAAATTGTCCATCTACTGTGTTCTACTTCCCTATGAGTTGTACCATCAGAGGGAAGCAAAATCTTCCACAGAAGAGGAGATTTCAGTTTTTTTAGTTTCTCTGTTTGTCTTTGAGGAGAAAACAGTTGGGCATTGCTTCTTGTAAATGCCTTCAAGAAATGCAACATGCAGCTTACTTTCTGGTTGAGTTTGTTGTCAAAACATTGCACCATCCCTGCTTGCAAAGGCTGTTCTTGCACAGCCAATCAGAACCCATGTTCACTCCAGTACTTATTTGTTAACTCTTTAAACCCTAAGAGTGACAAGCATCTAATTTCTCCTTACAATATCACCCCTGAATCATATATTAAGGTCATGAGAATAACAGAAATGATCACCAACAAGAGAAGCCTTTGATCGGTAAACAAATTCTCCTTGTCAGCACCTTAAGAAATGTATAAAGAACAGTATGGAGAATATGTATACTGATGTTGGAGTGTAAATGGTTTAAAAAGTGATGTGTTTTTATGCTTTAGGTTCAGGCCACTGTAGTAGGAGCACTGGCGGCATTTGCTGCAGTAGTCATGGGATGGATACTTGACGGAGAATTCAACATTCATCATGCCACTCTGCTCTGTGCCAGCAGTTTGGTTACAGCCACATTAGCCAGTTTGGTTCTCGGCTCTGTGATGGTTGCAGTTGTTCTCAGCTCCAGAAAATTTAACATTAATCCTGATAATGTAGCAACACCCATCGCAGCTAGTTTGGGAGATCTCATCACACTTGCACTTTTGTCTGCAATTAGTCGATTCCTACATAGTTGTATTGGTAAGTTTTAGTTAAATAGTGATGTGAATTCATTCTATCATTAAATACCCTTTAACTCCCAAGATCTGTTATTAATTCTCCCCTTTAGCTGCTACACATTTTGTTGTAAATAAATGATGAGAATTTGGTGTTGAATCAAGATAACAACTTCGACCTGATAAGCTTGATTATTCTCTTTTCCTGTTTGCTGGATAATGGATGGATGTTTTAGGGAGAAGTTACATTTTAATCACCACTGGTAGTTAAAGGCTTAAAACTTGATACACTATAGGTTCTGGTAATAATTTGTAATTTCTAAATATTGTCAAGAAAGCTTTCTAGAAATGCATTGATGTTCAAAAGTTTGGAAATAGCCCTTTTTATGTTCTTGACAGTGTCTTTTTTTTTCCAATTTAACCTCAACCAAAATTGCTTGCAACTTCAAAAAAGGGGTTATTCTTTTTAAGGTATTTTTTTTCTTTAAACAGAGTAGAGATGGAAAAAGCAAATTCCTCATTAAACAGAAAAGAAATAGTGAAAATGATTTCATAGATGGAAGAATTTTGCGTGTCTGATTTTCAGTTTGTTTTCAAGTAGACCAAATGATAAGCAATATCTTGACCCTTTCCCCTCCCAAGATGGCACAAGTAATTCTCCTAAAGTACTGTTTGTCATACAATTGTTATGATGTTAGTGTGGAGAATTTTGTTATTAAATCCACTAATATGGTAATCCTCTTATATTTTTCTTTATTACTTTCTCATCACTTGTCTGTGTGATATTGTATTGGAATTGTAAGGAGAAATTCTGTCTTGGTCACTCATGACTGTTTAAGGATTGAGACAAGGTTTTTTTTTAGAAGTAACTGTGATTTGGATTGAGTTGAAAGCTACTAAAGAACGGCCTTTCATTTCTTAGATTCTGATTCTGTCTGCTTAATAGTGTATTGATATTGTAAGGAGAAATTTTGTCTTGGTCACTCGTGGCGGTTTACTAGTTGAGGCAGATTTTTTTTTACAAGTAACTCTGATTCAGATTGATGTTAAAGCAGACTTAAGAACGGCCTTTCATATCTTAGATTCTGAAGATGGCACCCATCATTGGATAGCACCTGTCATCTGTTTGGGATTCTTCCTCATTCTCCCCCTGTGGGTGTACATCACACATCACAATACCTTCACACATGACGTACTCTACACTGGGTGGACCCCTGTACTTAGTGCAATGGTTATCAGCAGGTAATATTATCATGGTAGTTTTTCCCATCTTGCTGGTGAGGGGGGGGGGGATTGCTTGCACCAAACTTTGTCTCTCTCCGCAGAAGAGCCGATCTTCTATGGTACACTTAATGTACGGTTATGCTCTGTGACATCCGAGTCGGAATGTCGTATAAGGCAGAGTAAGAAAATTATACAGAATTAGTATTTTACTTAACCGTGTATTTATTTCCACGTTTTCTTCACCGAGCTGATTTTTTTAACGACATAAAATTTGGGTTTTCTCTTTGTGTTTGCAGCTCAGGTGGTCTCATTCTTGACTATGCAGTGGATAAGTACCATGGAATTGCAGTCTTCAGTCCAGTTATGAATGGTAGGTTTCTCGCTCATGACTTACGGACCTTGCTGCGCCCGGTCTGTGCGTCATGAGCTCAAGTCAAATATTTTCCCATCTGGCCTTTCCACTCAGTTGATAAATTCATATTAATATAAAATTTTCTCGGCCGATGCGATAACTTTTCTATTGGTTTCACGACACTCAATCGTAAAGCGCTCTATTTTGCATAGAAATCATAATAAGTTATACTATATTTCTAAGGATTGGGTGAAACTTATGTATTCGAACGCTTTCAGTCGACATGTTCAGGTGAGTTGAACAGTCGAATCAAGAGAAGTTCATTGCAACCCTAGTCACGTAAAACCTTGTTAATAATGTACATGAAAAAAATTACGCGCTTCTGATTGGCTGAAACGAGAGCAAATTACAAATAGCGTGCGCATACTTCTAAAATTTTGTCGGTTTTGACTTTCTGTGATGTCATTTCATGTTCGTTATTAACAAGCAACAACATGATTTCTCTTTCATCTTATTTGATGTAATAATCACTTGAAAATTTTTAAAGACTACAAATTGCACTTGGCGTACGGGCAAGTGAAAAATTGCACTCTGTACTTCTGAAATAGAGCGTGTTTTGAAAAGTTTAAACGAGAGTGCGCATCGTTTTTTAAGGTGTTGGAGGCAATTTGGTCGCCGTTCAGGCAAGCCGGCTTTCAACTGGTCTGCACCAACTTGGCAAACCTGGTGAGGTACAAGAATCAAGTAAATTCCGTGGCTGCGTTGATACGTTTTTTGGATCAGGTATGCGTGATTCTGCATTAGGGCCTTACACCCTAACATCAGTCGTCCGTCATGTATCAGTTCCCCTAGTGTCCTTGTCAGCTTACCTGGATGTTCGAATGCGTTTTTTTTCCTTTTTTTCGTGTGAGACTTAGGTATAGTTTTTTTATATGCTCCTTGGAGAACTATGGATAGTCTATAAGATAAAAATTTTCACCAATTTTTTTCCCCATCCTAGGAGTACACGCTCGGACCACTCGTGTGTTGCTATTCATGGTTATTCCTGGAAATCTGATATTTTTGTACACAATCCGTGTACTACAGGCGGGACATACAACTCTAACGCTTATGTTCACTTCTGGCTATCTACTGGCTGGTCTGATACAGGTAACTAGGAGCTCAGGAGTTATCCTTCTTGTCTCGAGCATAGATATCTGTATGAGTCGCCATGAGAATTGAATCGAAGCTCAAATTTTTTACCGCTAAGCAATAGCGAATCCTATGGTGAGCCAGGTTCATATGTGACGAGCGTCTCGCTTACTGCTTTGATCGACGTGCTTATGAAAGCCTTTTCTAGGCGTTCAGTTAAGCCTGGTTTTTACTAGCCCCCCCCCTCCCCCCTCCCCCCTTTTTTTTGCTCCGCTACTGCTTTCGCGCCCTTAGCCTCTTTCAGAAACGGAGCGAAATAAGCGAAATAATAAATGGCACGATGCAGCGGCAGAGCGACAATGAGGAGGTTTGGGTCGGGAAGGTGACCAGACCCAAACTTCTCTCGTTTTTTTTAAACTCCTCCGCTACTATCGCACTGTTTGCCATCACCCATCGTTTCACTTACTGAACGCCTGTAACAAGCTATCATACCCTTAACTTTTGCGCTGTATTTTATCAACTGAACGATTGAAACAGGTTGTGCGCGTAAGAACACGAATGAGATACTTCTCTGTTTCTTTACCAAGCCCAAAATTTGCAGTATTTTAATTCTATTTTACTTAAGCGTCCATAGCTCTTGAGATTACTGATCTTAGTGAGATGTAACAAGCGAGCCCCATTATTAGAGCTAGACCCCTCGAAACTCTCCCCGTCTCGTCTCAAACCTTCCGCGGGCGAAGAAACGCGCGTCCTACGCCACAAAGGAGAACCAGGTTGCAGGCTAAGCAGTATACTGGACGCGTGTCACATATGAATCAAATATGAACCTGATATTTGAACTTATTATAATGTACCTCGGTTAAGCTTGTGCCCACGAAATTCGAACTACTAACAGGCTCGAATCATCATGGAAACTCAAATTTACTCATTGCCCTACTCCTCCGTCCCACGAGTTACAAATATTTTCAATAAATCTCTAGAATTACTAGTGCACTGTTTTTCAAGGACATTCCCCAACTTCGTTTCGCAGGTCGCCATTCTTCTCCTCACAGCCGATTGGTTGGTTCACTGGATGTGGAAACAAGGCAAAGATCCCGACAACTACAGTATCCCTTACTTAACTGCGCTGGGTGACTTACTCGGCACCGGGCTCCTGGCCGTGTCGTTCCATCTTTTGTGGCTCGTAGGGGACCGCGACGCTGACGTGGGAGATTAGTGGGAACATTCCGTAAATTAATATATAAGTCATATACGCTAAGTCGATTATCATATTTAAAGAGAAGGATATAGATTCCCCAGGAACCATGTAACTTTTATCGTCGCCGTTACAAAGTACATACGAATTTATGAATCTCAAAGCTTTGCGAGATTGTAAAGGATAATCTAACCTCTCTAAAATTGTCCTGGAATTTGATAGAGATATTACATGAAAGCCGCCATTTTGAATGCTGCTCAGCAGCCTGACCGCTGACTTGTTTTTCCGTTTGAACCATCAAAAGCTACACAAAAATACGTTAGCGACCAAATAGTCTTATTTTTGCAATAACCAAAAAAATGGCTGCATTTTTAGTCGATTTTGAAGCACTTATGAAGAGGATTTTCGAACGGTTAGGTTATGCTTTACAATCACGAAACGCGAGATGTAAATTATCCGGTGTCTGGAGCACACATCTCCGCTAAAATACATTTTTTCATAAGCTTTTGTGTGGATACGTTGTGCGTTCATTGACAAATTTTCGGCGTTGCGCCCAAAGATAAATTAAGTAAACAAAAGTTTTTTCACTTCACCGAAATGTTGTATTTAACTGAAATAAAGTTATAAAATTTCCACCCATCATTTCAAAGAATGAAATTACAAATTTAAATGAAAATTGATATCTATTAAGAGTGCTTTTTATAAGATTCTTTACAATGAGAGGTATTTCTGAAATCTGAGTATTATCTTTCCAATAAAGATGCCACTCGGTAAATAAAACTAATATATTTTGTAGTTTAATAGCAGTTTATTATATCCGCAAGTACCATAAGTTTGAAACCTTTACCTGTCCTCCAACTGTTAACTGCTGAAATAAAGATATCTCTGAGGAGCAAGATCATCATGTCAGGATTTTTTTAAGCATTCTGCACTTTCGTTCTTTCCGTGTTGCAACATTGTAAAACTTCAGTAGTTATTAAAATTTATTTAGCTTCCGTAACATCACGTCGTGCGGGTCAAAAAAATAAAAAAGTAAAAAACTCCGTCGAATTCAAGGAGGGAGGCGCACTCCTAGAGTTCTCTGCGGTGTGGTAACATCGATTCTTTATTTCACTGATTTGTTTTTTCGACTTGCGCAACGGACTTCGCCGAAAAGGAAGAACAACTTGTGTTCTACACATAAACAGTTGCTAGAAGTGTCTCAGGGATATTTTGGCAGAAGTCCAAAAATTCATGAAAGTTCACGTTAAGCTGGTGAAACATACGAACAAAAGAGGGTCACTCTTACTAATTACATACCCAGGAGTCACAAAACCTTTAGGTCACGCAGTCTCAGTCACGCATTTCCATAAAATTTTAAGTTCTAAAGGCTAAATTTAATTATTGTTAAATTTAAGCATCTGCACACTTCTCGACAAAAAGCTATCCTCTCCACATGTCGCCACGATCTTCTTGTCGATTGTCAACGCAATGTCACGCGCACCTGAAACTGTTTTAATTGACGATACTTGAGTTCCGTCGGGGCGAAGAATGCGAATCTCGCGCGGGATCCCGTGGTAAGCCAACAGAGTGTTGTTTGACTTGTCAAGAGCGAGCCTGATTGGATACGTGATATCAATTCCCATGTTGTCTCGTTGGCCCAAATTATGCTTGTCCTCATCGAAGGTCTGCAATAAGGAGCCTTTTTCGTCGAACACCTTGATCGCGGTTTTGTTTTTAGAGCCATCGGAGTCAATAACGTAGAATTTCCCATCAAAGAAAATTGCCTTCCCTGGACTGGCAAGATGTTCTCCACCAAGCTCCATTTCAAGACTGTATTCCTCTTTGTCATCCGCATTGTAGACTTGAATGCAAGGGCGGGTTCCATTGCACGTCACCAAGATGCGTAGATTATCATCCACGGATATGTTGCTGAAGCTGATGTCTTCATCATCATCAACCTCCACAAGAGAGCGGATGAATCGGCCGGTGATGTCAAACATCTGGATGCTTTGAGGTCCCTCAAAAGGCCCATCGGATACGATGATGTTGTTGTCGGGAAAGAAGAAGACTCCATCGGGACATTCCATGGACCCCTCGCCATCCTCGCCAATCTGCAGGTAGCAGTTTTTAAGAAATGAAAACAACTTTATTTATTTTCAAAATGGGGGGAAGGGGGAGGGGTGCGCTGC